TATTAGATGATAACAGGGAATTCACAATTATACATCATTGTGGATTCAGTATGCAGAAGTGAATATTTTACTCTTTTCTGACAATTTCATGACATTTTATAGACTCAACAAATCGACAACAACATTTAATCTATTATAAAAACCATTTTTTTAACATATTGAATATCTTTGTAGGGTCGGACAAAACAAGAAATTGGAAGACTTGGGCTTAAGGAGACTTCAACTGTAATCGACCAAACACTAAAGGATTTAATCTGGAGATGTAGGAAGTGACAAAGAAATATAAACAAGTATAATGCTTTTAAAGAAAACATTTCAACTTTTCACCAACAGGTGGGGCTATGGTGGCAAACATTGAAAAAGATAGCTGATTGTGTAACAGCAGTGGTTGCATGGATGTTACATGAAGGAGGGAGGGATGGAGCCATGCAGTGCAAGGTATGGCATGGCTCACGTCAGAGGGAGAGTTTATGGAGGAGATACAATGAGGGAGAACAGGAGAAAATAAAAATAAGTAGGGAGGACTGATCTACCAAGTACTAGTTACTGTACAGCACTATACGACACATTCAAAACCATAATGAACAGTATTTACAGAGAGGTCTTCCAATCAAACCTGGTTTTATTAATCATCCATAATTAATGATGGTATATCGTGGAACAGATAAGTATTAAAGGGTCCATCAGGCCTGCACCGTTTGGCCTTGAGAGCCTGCAGACAGCCTGACCACACAGCTCTTTGTCCGGCCAGAAAACCCCCCCAGAGCCCCTCAGAACCCTTCCCACAGACAGCAGGGAGAGAACACAATGAAGGTTACACACAAAGATATGAAATCACCCTATGATGTAGGGACTGAGGCATGATGAATACTGATCCATCCCACGCACCGGGAGCCTCTGGGAGAAACTCTACTGAAACGCCCCTCTCTTAGAAAGACGGACGTTTGTCTCGTACTTAAACCCCGCCATACTTTGAAACACTAATGCTCCCTTTCCTCCATACTAAATGTTTTCACTGAAATGAGTTTTGTTTGAGTTCAGTGCTTGTTTTGGGGGGTTGGTTCAGTTTGCAAAGCTCATAAGAACCAGTTTGCTTTCCACCGACCAGAGGGATAGGGCACCACTTCATGACTTCACTGTTCACGTCGCTACTTTCGACTCGAAAAACTTCCAACCCTAGTCTCTGACAAGAACTCTGACTTATGCGTCTCTCTGCAATTGGTGTTAACTGGACAGAAAATCCGTGCTTGATTTCAACCAGACGTCGATACAGTCCAAACATTAAAAAGGGTTTCGCGATATGGCTTCAGCTTTGAACCGACCCTGGAACTGGCTTGGTGGAAAGTAGAAACAGGCTATTGGTGCTGTGAAGTTGTTAGCTTCCACTAGCGCTGCATACAAGACCCTCAGACTCGGAGAGGAAAAGGACAGCAGAGAAAAGAGGAGAACAGAAACGTAAGAAGAGAGACGGGGGAAGGCGGTCCACGTGCTTCAGCCTGCGTGCCAGCCTCACTATGAATGGGCCTCACATGGGCTCAGACTGGCTCTCTCTGGATGTGAATACAAAGACTGCTGAACCTACAGCGTGTGTGGCTGCACGACAGGACAGTCAGCGAAGGAGGTCATTCTTCAAAGCTCTGATAGGTTGTTCACTCAAGTCTCAAAAGTTGTTGCAGCAATGTTTGTGTGGGTATCATTTTGTACACAGATTTATGGGCGGATCTAAACATGTTGACAACTCAAGAACTGATCATAATGTTTACAAAACCCTTCCCAAATACCACACACCAGGACCCTGAGGAACACAATATAATAATTCATGCTGTGATTTAGGATCAACAACTTCTGACATTTGGAGATATTTGTAAAATAATTGCATCGTTCAGGAATTGAATGGCAATGTCTCCAAACTGCTCAGAACATCCCCTTATTGTCAGTTTCCCTAAAGAACCTATACGTTGTCTCAGTTGAATTTTCCGGCTAATATTTGTATTGAACGTGATACGTGGTACTTAGCTAATAAGCAGCAAGATGTCCCTTTCATCACGAGTGATTACTGCAAATCTCTACAGAAGTCTGCAGTGCTGAAAACCTAAATGAACCAGTGGAAGTGAACTTGGAAGGGATTGGACTACATGAAAAGGCCACAACTTTACAAAGCATTGGACAAGAGCAAGCTAACACGCGGCTAATTAGAATCAAAAAGACCACCAAGCAGCAGGAGGAATCCCATTGCCTCTGAGATTTATGATGTGGCCGGCTGGCAGAGCTCCTCTCTCTAACCCTGCACAAAGTAGGAAAGCCGTGGACAGCTTCTAAAAGGAGAGCTAGCAACAAACAAACAATCTTTCTGATGCACGACTAGATGGTCTCTCACGTTCACACCGCAGGGTAAGAAGTGAAAGTGTCTCAGGAAGTCAAAGCCAGCAGGGCAACGACTGGGCCTCAGATTGTGGTGCTGTCTATCTGTAAAAAAACACGTGGAGAGAGAATACAAAGCCAGAATACCCTGTTTTCATAAAGATAAGGTCTCTCGTATCTGGGCTTCACACCAAACTGTAAAACAAACATCATTCTGCACATTGGGTCAAATGGAGAAGTTTGAAAATGATTAAATGAGACTTTTGATCTGTTGAACATGTTTTCTGAATACTGAGCCACTGAGGCTTCAAGAGTATTCAGCAGACTGTTGGCACTGAACACATGGCTTTCATCTACCATCCATCCATTGTAATGAAAATGTCCCTTTTGTGTGCAGACATCTTCCTAGGGCAGATGGATGTTGTCTCAGTAATATTGTATACATCTAACCTAGAATGCTTCCTGTGTCACCCCTCTGCCAAGGACACGCGTCAAGAGGAATCAAATTAGTAATAAAACATAAGAAATTGCAGCAGAAACCTTGGAGAGTAACCACCACAGCTCTCATCTGACACAAGGTGTAAATCACCTACGGAGCAGAAAGGAGGTTTTTTGACCCACCTTGACCCCTTCTACCCGTACGAGAGGGGATCCCTCCCCCCAAACGCCACCCAGCTCTCTGTTCCCCCCCTCTTGGGGTTCACTGACCAGATTAAGGAGCCTTCTCCGTCTCCAGGGCCCTGTGTGCTGATAGCTTCCCATTATTTCCGTCTTGATGAGAAAAGCGATCGTGGTGAATCTTCAAAGAAGCAGTCACTCAACTGAAATATAGCATCAATTTCTCGCCACAAAACTTTGGTCAGATAATGCTTTTAGCAAACTAAAACTATCTGGATTAAACGTCAGGTCTTTGGCACGAAGAACCTTTTCAATACATGATTTTAAGAAGCAAAACCTTGGTTTGATGTGCTTATCTAAAATGAAACAGCACAGCGGTACAGCTGTTCTTATGAAGTTAAGATTAGTTTTATGAGTGTAGCAGGAGGAAGTGGAGATGCCACTGTGTTTAATAATTACCTTCAATGCAAGAGGTATGCAGATATCTTATCAAAACTTAAGCTTCAGCTGACTTCCTAAAAATGTCCCAAATAGGGATCAATAAAGTACTATCTTATTTGATCTAATGTCGCCTCATGTTAGCGTCCTTCAAAACAAGCTTTAGATCTGAGCCTGCCTCCTTACTCTCCTGCACATTCTTTCCCGATTGTTCTGTGGCTTCATTGTGCGAATAAACAAATCCAACCCCCAGAAAGTTGTGTTAAATATGAATGAAGTTACACTCAGTCTTCATCACGTCCGTGGTCCTCTCAGCTAAAATCTGTTCACTCAGACCACGGTGGATTTGCCCTTGAAAACTTGGCAGCGGACCAGGCCGGGGTCACGCACTGAATACCTCTCCGGTTTCTGTGTTGTGTCTGTGTTGTCGCTGAGGGTCTGGCACGACGCCCGTCTCGGTGGGTCGCCGTGTCCGAGGGGCCGGTGGGTTTCCATGATGCAGTCTGAGGTGAAAGAGGCGGGCGCAGAGAATCTACCGGAACACACAACCGTACCCTCCAGACTCCGGCATGAACCTGATTGTGTGTGGAGCTTCGCCGTGAACAAAAGCGAACCT